TTTTTTTTATTTTAAAATTAGAGATAGGTTAGAGGCAGCCTTTTGGGAATCCTAACTTTTCTTGAACATTAAAATATGATTAGAGTTGATTTACTCTTATTTTATATTTTTATTTGTGATGAATATAATGTCTATTAATAATTCTAAGTTTTATTTTATTAAAATTAATTTTTAATTTTTAATTTTACTTTTTGAACTATACTAGATTATAGGTAGAAACCACTACTCAACACTTTTTTATTTCTTTATTTATGTAAATGGCATATGACTCATGACTATACTCGATAAAAACAATTTTACCTTTAATATGTTTAAGTTAAGGGAATAAAGAAGAGTAGAAAGAAATGAGAGGATACAATGGAAGGATACAAATATTTTTTCACTCCCCTTCTCTCTCTTCATTTAGATTAATTGATTAATTAATTGATTAATTAAAAAAATAAATCAACAAACTTCCTTTTCCCTTCTCAATTTTTTTTTTTATAAACAAATAGAAAAAGTTTTCCTTCCCCCAATTTAAACATACTGTTTAAAAAAAAAAAGAAAAAGAAAAAGGAAGAAGTTAAAATCTACCATAATTTGGTGAGGTGAGGAAGAGGCTAAAGTTAGGAAGAAGGTAATGAACTCAAATCAAACTTGAGATCATAAAAAGGTTGTCAACGTCGAACTGAAATAGAACTTAAAACGTGTAGTCCAAACTGAAAATAAAGCTTCAATCAAGTGTAGCTTGAGCCTACACATTTATTTGAAGCGAGCTCAAACTTGTTCAACCCTATAAGAAAAAAACCGCAGTTTAGACCTGAATTATTCCTTCTTTACTCAACTACTACTATGTCAATAAATCCTAAATTTACTCATTCATCCAAATCTAATAGCAGCAATAACAGCTTTTTCCAGTATAAAAAAAATGCTCTGTATAACCATACATGATCACATAATTCAATCCCTAGGATAAATGTGGAAGGCAGAACATTACATAAACACCCACCACCAAATAAATAAATAAATATATATGTATATATATATATATATAATTCAACAAACCCTATCAAATTATAGGAAAGCTGAGTTTTTCTAACAATTATTTACCAAAGTGCAAGTCGAATACCAAGATTAGGCAAAATTTACAAAGCTATGTTTCCTAAAAAAGTGGGAATATAACTCCACCTACAGAAACAACACAACAAAAGAGTAACTCAAGGTGAGAACGGATGAATCAGTCTAGGTTTAATAATTCTTTCTTTTTCCCTTTTCCTTTGTTAACTAGGTAAAATAAATAAAACTGCCTCTTTACTTTCTCCAACAGCCTTGCCATTCTGGAGACTGGACTTTCCTCATTTTTAGCTTCTATTACAACCAAAAATCATATCCAGTTTAATACAATTAAGCAATGTATCAGTTTCGGAGGATTTTACTGACACATGAGCAATCAGACTCCAGAGATCTATAATGATGAGCAATCAGACTCCAGAGATCTATAACGATGGTCAGTAATGATTGTTCAAAAATCATAATAATGCAGGCCTAATAGCATGGAGTATAGCATCTCTGAACTCACAAGTGATTATCGTGTGCATGCCTTCTGTGCTCCTTGTCTGCATAACTACCCCGACTCATTTTGTGTCCATCCTCGATGCTCTCATGGTTGTAATTTGACATGTAGTCATGCCGTTTCTTTCCCTCTGATTGCCTCTCAGGTGGACTTCCAGCTCTTCTCTTTCGGCTGTTCATCATGGGAGAAGCATCATCTACCATTTCACCTTCTTCAGCACCCTCTGCTTCAAATGCCCTAGATGACTGTCCCTTATTACCAAAATGATTCCCATCTGTCACTTCCCCATGGTCCTTGACATGATCCTGATTCTCATTCTTAGGCCAGCTTTGCCTGCGTTCTTTCCTGCTTTTCTCATCTTCAACAGCCATTTCAATCCCATCTTCTAGCTCCTTCTCAATAAGATCATCTTCATCCATGACATCCTTTTTCTTCATTGTTTCCCCACGAGACTTCCTCCTTTTCTCAAGTGCAGCCTTCAGTTTATCTTTGTCAATTTTAATAGCTTCCTTGGGAGACTGGCTAACTGGGCCTTCTCGATTGTCCAAGTTTCGCCCAACCAGGTTGGTTGACTTGCGTGATGCACCATCATCCCTCCACTCTTCCACTTCAGTGCTTTCATTTCTCCCACTGACTCTTTCCTGGTCTTCCCCACTTCTCTCCATACCAGACTTGGATTTATTTGAAACATCTCTAAAAGTTTCCTTGTGGGACAAATGCTCAGAATGTTGATTGTCCTTGGGGTCTACATCCACCTTCTGATCAGTAATAACACTACCCATCTCTCCACTACCATTATCATTACTTAGATTTTGCACATTTCTTGATGGAACCCCATGATTGTCAGCTGAAGAGTTGTCATTAGCTGTTCGTGACGTTATTTGTTTGGATGACTGTTCCTCACTCACTGCTGGAGTTTTGGCTGGGGCCCTGTGAGTTGTTCCACCACCAGCACTTCCTTCCACTTCACTAGCCTGTGATGCAGGCATGCGGTTTTGCTCATAAAGTTCCAGCATTTGATTGCTAACCTCTGCAAGAGAAAATAACAACAATGATTGATGACTACATCCAAACAACATCTACCAGAATATGGACACTAAGGCACAGCCAATCAATGATTAACACCCATGGCATCATATTTGGCATAACAATATCTGCAGACTGCTCATTGTGTTCTTTCTAGAGAGCAACAAAAGGAATATTACATAAAAAGGATACCTAAAATCTTGTCAGGGTCCAGTTTAAGAAAAGCATCATGTGTCCGATGTTATAAACAAACAACCAAGTGCAAAATTAGTGCCAAGATGCTGTTTGACAACTGTGCAATAGGGATCACAAAATTTCATTACAAAATTAGGAGGAGGAGACCAACCCTCCAATTGGCGAGGAGTGACATCAAATTCTTGCCACCAGACCTTCTCACCCTCAGAAGGAAGCTTCACTTTCAGAAACTTTGCAGCTAGGAAAATGGCACCCGCCGCAATGTGATGGGGCTTAAATTGCAGGCAAAGCGACGTCCTCAGCCTGTAAGCCGCTTTGCAGTGTGTGAAAGAAGAATAGGAGGAGAGATAATCTTTAAAATTCTGAGGAAAGACCATCTTAAACATACCCATCATTAACAAAATTCCATGCAACCTGAGCAAGGGCATTCTGAGCAACCTTGAATTTCTTTATTGCTTCAACAAGAGGTTTATATGGGTGATGAACATTCAGGTCAAAACCCAGGGTGGCAAGTACAACCCTCTCCCCAAGTAAGATTAGTTCTTTTTGTTGCTCATACACCTCCTGCTATATAGATATGGGTTAATAAGCAATTACCAGAACGAAAATTACAATGCAATCAATAAAAATTAAAAGCAAACAAAGGAAGCTAATAGATACTTTATCAATAACTGTTCATGTGAGAGTGTATTATTGGCAAGAATTTTACATTTTGAGAGGAACAGTTGAATATATTCCAAAAGGAATGAAACGAGATGTTAATCCCTAAAAGCGATATATTTCAGGCAACTATCTTTGAACTTTGATGTAGAAATATTTCACATAACAAATTAACAAACCCAACCATGTTTTTACATATGAACAGCTATCTAGAAGTTAAAAGTTCCATACACAGCAATAAATGGTTAGCTAATAAATTACCGTTAAAAAGAGACCAACCATAATCCCTAAAAATTATACATTTCAGGCAAGTATCTTTGACATAGAAATATTACACTCAACAACTTAACAAATGGGACTTTGCTTTTCCATGAGAACAGCCTTCTAAATGTTAAAAGTTCCATACACCCAGAAATAAATGGTTCGCTTACAAATCAGTGTTGGGTTATGTTTTTGAAAAAAAAGGAACAGGGGACAGAGATTTTTAATGCACATGAGTCAAAAAGTAGAAGCAGTAGCAATGGCAGGACAATTAGAGAGAAGCCTAAGATGTAAAGTGATAACTTAGCAAGAGGGCCGATCCAAAAAAAAAAACAGTAAGAGGGAAATAAATAAGCTGCAAAAGCATCATTAATTTAAACAAGACCTTCTGTTTTATCCTCTGAGCTGCAGCAGCATCTTTTTTGTTTATTATCTCATAAGATACCAAAATAACATCCTTTAGTGGGCGAGGAGTCTCTTCAACCTTCCCAGCAAGGAACATACATACTGTCGCAATTGTCTATGAAGCAAATGAATGAAGTTAGGCATGAGAACAAAGACAACTTACCTTAAGTAAAACCATATCACTTAAGGTTGTTTCTCATTATAAAATCTTCTATCAGATAGACAATAATGGTCAACATATTTAACAATTTTATACCTTTCAATCACTCCATGGAAAGCATTAATATTTAACTCATGAATTGAAAGTTAATTGCTTAAATGCATTAAAGATCTGAAAGGACAATAGAGTCTAAAAATTTAAACTGTACAGAATGCTACATTGACAACCAAGTTTAATTATAAATTTCCAATTCTTGAAACTGGCATTTTCAGCACTGAAGAGTTTGGATTTTGTCAACCATGCATCCTAAAGATTTCTAATTAACAAGCAATTGGCTCCAGCTCCATTCTAAGTAAGTCCATACTACTGGATGTCTTTCAAACCACTAAATTGAATGACCACCCCAAGTCAAGGACACCCTTTCTTCACCACAACATAATTTAGCCCTACTTGAAAGTCGACTACACTAGACATCTAAAATTTTATTTACACAACATGACCTAACAGCAATCCCAAATTGCAACACTAATGGGAAGAGAAGTAAATGATTAAGTTGGTTGCAAATGAAGCAATACAAAATGTGAAGTGAGTAGAACAGCTCACCCTTCGATCATTCTTTGCATGTGATTGACGGATGAAGAACCGGTGACAAAATATAATTGCTGTAGCTATTGTTACCTGTGGTCTGCAAACAATTTCAGATATTTTATTTCAAAATGAAATAGTTGATGGACAATGAAATTTCATATACGACAAAAGCTACGTCTTTCCATGCACAAAGGTTAGAAATAAAAACAAAAAAATGGAAATCCAAAGAAAGTTTCTCCTTCGATTTTTTTGTTTTCCCCTTTCCCAAGAGGAAAGGCATAATAATTAAATCTACATATATTACTGAGCCAATCAAATGTTAGTAAAGTTAGCTAATCATGTATGAAAGGATCGACTCAATTTGAAGACAAGCACTTGCTATTCATGTGAGCATAGTGCTTTGACCAAAAAGATAAATCATAATCATATAAATGGCAAAAGAAGGCAATGAATGACTAACTTCGCTCCCAAATTTTCTGTCAAAATATCATTACACCAAGGCCAAATAAAGATATAAAGAAAGATGTGAACAGAAGAAGGATAAAAAAATATAGAATATCACCAGTATGACTTAAGAAATATATGTTAGTAAAAAGATTGCTTTGGGGATCTTCATGTAAGGGTTCTTCACATCAATCAAAGAAGATCACATGTTATAACATAGAGGCAGCAGAAGTCAACTGAAGACTGTATACAATTGAATCACATACATTGAAGACGAAGACATGCATGAAATGAGTAAAGAATATAGTTGATTATTTTAATTTCCCAATCATAAATAATTATCAAGATCATGCTGTCAGAAGCTACTAATATCATATCATATTATAATTACAAACATTTCTAATTAGTCATTTTTATTTTGCTTTAAGTGGGAAAAAAAAACCAGCAAATTCAAAGAATAGAACTTACACTTTCAGTCGCATGCCTAGGTCCTGCAAAAATGTACAGTATGACTTCCTTAAGTAAGTTTCTTTCTTCAAGTCAATGCCATCTTTTCTTGATGGGGAATTTTCTTCTATTTCTTTTCTTGAAAAATACCACGAAGGCCCACCCTCAGACGTTGCATTGTGAGAGGATTCACCAGGAAACGACCCTGCCATATGTGTCTTCCAAGGTGTAAATGTGGCAAGTGAAAACACCTCCTATAGCAGGAAGGTCTTTATCTCTTCATAAAAAGACAGCCTAGAAACCTAACCTGATCAGACACGTAATAAGGCAGTGAGAAGGGATAAAATCAGCATGCCTAACTAGAAATACGCCACATATGATATACCTAAACATACCTTCAGCAAAGCCTTTATCTCTCTTGAATTCCCATTTATATCATAACATTAAAAACTTAGCCAAACATGTTTATCAAAGCTTATTTTCAATCCCTTGAAAAAAACAACTTACCCCTTTCTAGGACATATTACTTCATTAAACAGTCACTGGATGTTAATTGTTAAATACTCCAAACGCACTTAAAGACTAAAACTTTAGCAAACAACATGCTTGATACATTCTATTAAAGACTAGTTGACCCTAGAAAGTAGAAACCATCTGTTACATACTACACTGTTAACGCACTAGCTCAATGATTTTACAGAATGATGCTAAATGGAAGTATAGAGCCATATGTAGAAAGCATTACTTGAAAATGATTTTTTTTTTTTTATATTTCAAATATCAATATACGACAAATTTCACATACCCACTAGTTTTTGAGGGAGAAAGCACATCAGTTGAGAAGATTAATCCAACATTAAAATGAAACTATAACAAACAAACAATTATCCAAGCTATTAAAAAGTATTATATCGTCATTCATCATTTTCAAACAACAAAAACAGAATTTCATCATTCCTAAGGCACGAAAAAATTAAAAACCCAAAAAGTTCGAAAATTTCGATTATAAAATAGAGGGAAAATATGCAGCTGATCTACAATATCGCGTTTCGACGCTCAATACACTGGGTTTCATCATCCATAACAAAAAAATTTAAATTCAATCTACGTTCGGAAAACCTAGGTTACGCAATCGGCAAAATCCACCCCAACAAACAACAAATTACCAAATTGCGATTCACAAAACAAATAAAATAGGAAAAGAAATTCCTCCCAGCAGGGAATTCTCCGAAACTGAGATCTAAAACACTTTCGCTATCGAACGAGCTTAAATTTGAGTGGGTTTTTCTCTTACCCTATTCCGTAAGAAATAAAACGAAGTAGAAGAAGAAGCGAAATCGATTTTAGATATATAATCTCTATAGCTAAGCTAAGACACAGAAAAAGGAGAAGGAAGATGAAGTAACCTGGATGGAAATGGAGGCGGCGTCTGCTGCTGTCTCACTGCCTTGTCTCTCTTTCCCCTTTTCTCTCGTCTTCTTTCATTCCGAATATTTACTTATATAATTACAATTTTATTTTATTTTTATTTATGTTATTTTCTACATTTCCGAGATTACCCTTTTGCTTTTTTTTTTTTTTTTAACATCTGATTAATTAGATGTACAGGCTAGCGATTCTTGACCAAACCTGATTCATTCCAGAGGATTTAACTGAAAAATTTTAGATGTTCATTCAAGTTCTTAATCTCCAGAACATCAATGGTAGAGTTATGTCTTTATCATTATGGACTCTAAAATGATTGACCTAGCATTTTGTAGTTTAGACATAACTGGCAAATGTTTTTGCTAGACCATGCCAATCACTAGGAGGAAAAAAAATTGATCGAAATCTGGATTTGGTTAGGAGTATTTACTGCAAATGGGAAAAAGGTTAAAATTAAAATGTACATGTACAACATATAAATAGCGAAACACTTTATTCTTCTGGCAATATTGAAAAGAGACCCGTGTATCGTGTAGCCATTAAAAAGGCCGCCAAATATCTAATGTCTTTTTGCTAGATATAATGTCACATGCATTAATCAGAATCCACTCTTCCTTAAAACTTGACACCTGTGTAGTGCACTCGTGAAACTTTGGTTGTATTTTCATGCCTGTGGAAATTCTAGCCATAACACCAACGCTGAAAGTGAAGCAACATGGCATATATGAATCGTTCTCTCTTCCACTTCTGACCAATTTCATACGTCCTGGCTCAACTGCTTACAAGCCAACCAGGTTTGACCAAGAGATAGAAGTTGAAAGAAAAGGGAAAAAAATTTTGTACGTAAGTTTTCAATAGCATCTATGTGTTACTGCAAATGAATTGCAGAAGAGAGCACCACTGTGTAGAACAATTGTGGCGAACAACCTTTCCAGCTGAATGATGCTCTCAATTAAACTCCATATGAAATTCTTGTTATGTATATGAAGATTTTATTCTTATTTTTACTCATCTACTTTCCTAGAATAAATAACCTATATGAACTTTTAAAAAGAATAGAGTAGCTCCTGCATTGTACTAAAATTCAGTTACTCTGGATCACGCCAGGGTTGCCCTCTTGCCTTTGGAATCCCTTGACTGCATACAATTTGAATTGTATGAGTGAATGGTTTACCGTGAAAGGTTATGATCTACCAATATAAGGAGTTGCCGATCAAAAAAAAGAATAGAGTTTGCATAGAGAGTACCTGTGCAGCAACAGATCTCTTTGAATCCAAAAACTGACTGTAGATGCTGTAGAGTCTCTGTTTCTCGGAGTCTGAAACTGATGGTCTTGCCTTGGAAGCAGTTGACTTCAATAGAGCATCAGTAATCAATGGCAGTTTGCCAGGCTCATTTCTATTTTCATCGTTCAAATGTTCATGGACTGCAGCAAGCTGTGCATCTGAGAGGAGAGCCTGGAGATCAGCTCCACTGAATCCTTCTGTCATATTTGCTATGGTGTCTAAATCAACATCATTGGCCAACGGTAACTGCATCCGTAAAGTAGTTTTGCTCAGTTGAGTTAAGCACAGAAAAAACTTGAAATTTCTTGTAGAAGCAAATTCATGAACTTAATAGAAGCATCACTGAGTAATTCTCATATTCTAGTTACAGAATATAAACATAGCTTTACATTTAAAAAAAAAAAAAGGCACAAGAAACAAATTAGCACTTGTGTGCCACTTAACAAGCGTCATTAACCTTCCTAGAGAGAACTGTAAGAATATCCAGCCTTTCAAGTCGTGATGGGAAATCACAAAAGAGAAGCCGATCCAGCCTTCCTGGTCTCAACAACGCAGCATCAAGAAGATCTGGTCTACTGCTTTCATAAAATAGCTCATGTCAATTTCATTAAAGTCATGCCAATAACCAGAAAAACGATTCTTAAATGACACGTTAAATATCCAATCAGCCTGAGAAAAAGAAAACAAAAATCCATGATCATTTTTCTTCATTTTTCCCATCATAATTGTTAAAATTTAATTTATGCTAACTTGGTGTTGGTTACATAACTCTTTACAGATCAATTTTGTACAGAAGCAGTTGTTATAATTGTAATCTAAATATCAAATTGTGGATGACTGCAATGCAGTATCATAGGCAAGAGCGATATCATGTGGGAAGACTATTAACTAGTTCTGATTGTTTGGCCTCTTCATTTCATTTTAAAACATTTAGGGAAAATGTTCAACAAGCATTGGGTGCTCAAGCTTTTAGATGAGGTAATATACCAATGAATAAAATATTTAGCTAAAATAATTTGCTAAGAGGTTGAGAAGAAATGTCTGAGATTTCAGATCAAATTCCTAGTTGGTGGCTAAGAATGTCTAATGAGGATTGCAGAAAGAAGTCCTCCCTCAGAATTGAGAATAAATTACCAAATAAAAATCCCAAAATGATATAACATGACTGAAGAAAAACTAACCTTGTGGCGGCAAACACAAATACACCAGTCAAAACTTCAACACCATCTAACTCAGTCAGGAACTGTTTCATAATAAATGATGATTAGAAATCAAAGGTTAAGACAAAAAAGAACAGCTAAGGAAATAAAGGATTCTAACTTGATTAACGACTCGATCAGTTACTCCAGTATTATCATGCCCTCTTTTTGGCGCAATAGAATCAAATTCATCAAAAAAGAGGAGACATGGTGCTGCAGCAGCTGCCTTTGAAAATATATCCCGGACCTGAAACCAAAGTATGAGCATCATTGTACACACTATGTACCTACTGTAGAAAATCTTTCACTTTCCATGTTCAGATTACAAACAATTTTTGAACAATCAGCACTTAACTCCTAGAAAAAAAGAACACTGAATATGTGCAAATTTCTTCCCAAAACAGTAGCATTTTCCCCACATTCCAGAACTAATAAATATAACAAGGCAGGATAAAATTCAATCTTTATAACACACATCTCCCATAATACAAGTTGTGAATGCCACTTCTATTACTAGTATCACTACTATTATTGGTTGTTATGTTATAATTGAAGTCCCTGTCATTCCAAAAGCAGACCAAAACTTTGAACATTTTTAAATCAACACAAGTGTTTAACATGAATACAACAATTTGACCACATGCCCTCCACCCTGTCCCAAAATATCTAAGGCCCTTTCTAATCCCTTGTTTTTCATCTTAGCAATCTGAATACAAGTTTCAGCTGATTCCCTTCTTAATCCCTTAGAGTCCATTACTTCCATGTTTTAATAGCCAACTTGCTCTTCCTTTTCCCCTCAGCAACTTATCTTAAAACAGACATTAAAAAGCTAGAAAGGTGTCTGTAAAAGATGGTCAAAGAGAAGATTAGTCTCTCTTACAGCCTGCTCAGAAGCACCAATGTATTTGTTCAAGAGCTCAGGCCCTTTCACTGATATGAATCTTAGCGAACAAGCAGCAGCAGCAGCACCAACAATATGAGTCTTGCCACAGCCAGGAGGACCATATAAGAGAACATTTGAGCGCAATCTTAAAGGAGCTTTTCCAAAGATATTAGGGAACTTTGAAGGCAACTCAATCATCTGTCATTGAAATATAAGAACTAGCAATATGAGGAAAAAATGAAACTCATCATGGGAAAACAATTGAGTCCAGAAAATGTAGGTATTATGAAAAGCATTTTTTTTTTTTTCACTAGATCAGAAATGGGACTAGCTTTGAGAAAAAGCGAGTGTTGGAAAGAGAATTCACTATAAATCAATAAAGACCATGGGACAATCAGTAGTCTTAAGGCTAATAAGTAATAACTATAACTGAAAGCTAAAGAGAGGTACATAAATGAAAAACCAAAAAACTAATAAAACTATTTAAATCACCTCTGCCTAAAAACTGTTTTTGGAGGAACAAAAGAAATAAATAACCCTTTTATATATGGATACCCTCCTAGAAAACAAATGATACTATTGTTAAAAGCTTATGCTGATTGTCAAAAAATTACAAATTATTATCATTGTCTCCTTTCTCAAAAACATTAAAAATGACCATGTTGGGGGCAATTCAAAGAGCAAAATCAAAGCTTTCCATAAGCATATTAACAAAATAGTATAAAGTAAAGTAAAATGGCCAGTACTGATTAAAATGATTTTCAGTAAATTAAAGACCGAAGAGAAAGGCATACCTCTTTAATAGCATTACGAATGTCATTCAGACCACCAATGTCATCCCAACCAGAGTGACTACCGTCAGCAGCAGCTTTAGAAATACCTCGCATGGCAACTGGGAGAAAGTCATGCATTGCTTGGGAGAAATCATCCCTAACTAAAGTGGGTTTCATGTTCCCTTTAGCAATAGAATCAGACGGTAGATATCGGCCAACGGCAGCATGAACAGCTCTGTCAACCAGTATTTCCTGAAATAATGGAAACGCTTCTTAGTTCTTATAACAGTAAAAATACACCATAAGCATAATTTCTATGCAACGCAACATGGAAATGGAATCTACTTGAAGAAAACCATTGTTTATCACAACTTGTCATGACCAATCTAAGCTGCAATCAGAACTTTAATGAGAAAGGTGATATTATCTCATAAATGATGAAGAAACTGATGATAATTTTTTCTAAGAAGATAATATGCATAGAAAATAAGGATATAGATGATGATTATTATGATTGAGCAATTCAATATGATCAGCAGATAAGTGAAAAGAAGTAATATACAACTTAAGTATTACTCCAAGGAAGAAATTCATTTTGTGGAAGTCAATGGAAAGCTCCAAAATATAACAATATGCTAGTTCTAAAAGGACTCTTTAAATCAATCTTCACACATTTGTCTCTTCACAAAGACACAGGTAAATAATTATCATGATTTCATTCTGCACAAAGCAATTTCAAGGTTGATGGGACACCAAAAAAAAAAAAAGAAGAAGAAGAAGACGACAATCTTAACAGCAACAGCAACAGCAGCAGCAGCCAACAAGAAAAATAACAATAATAATAATAAAAGAATCATGAAGCTAAAAACTAAGAATAAAACGTGACTAAAAATTAAATAAATAAATAAAAACCTAATATTTTGAAATGCAAATTTGGCTATAAAAGAACCAAACTAATAAAAAATTAAGCCAGATATACCAGATCGTAAGCATCATAGCCATCACATTTGGATGCCACATCTAGCAAAACATCATCAGGGCACTGCAATGAACGTCTCTGAATTTCATGCTTCAATATAGCCCCACGTTCTGAGGCAGCTGGAGCAGGAAGCTGGACATGAAAGTCAAACCTTCCTGATGACAACCAAATTAAAAAAGCAAAATGGATAGTATGAGTGATAAAAAATAATAATTAAAGAAACCAAAAATCCAGCTTAATTGCAATTAGGATGCAAGTATGAGGTGCTACCAATCATTAACCAAGATGGGGCAAACCTGATGAGCTCAATGACTGTGGTATACTGCCTAGAGACTGCACACAAGCTACAAAGGCTATAGGACCAACTCCACAAGAGCTCTTCCTCTTTTCCTGTTCAATTTGAAAATAAAATCTATTAACCAAGTGGGGCATCATGACAACAAAATGAACCTAAAATTGCCATCTTAATTAACTTTAGAAATCTGCTACAACTCTAATGCAACTATACAAGGAAATGCTGGAAACTGAACATCACAAAGTTATTACCCCATATTCATCCATAACGTCAGTAAGGAATTTTACAAGTGAAACATCTGGATTAGAAGGTTGAGATCCTTCTGAGTCAGATGAAGTTGAAATAATGCTATCAAGATCATCAAGAATGACAACTGAAGGTGAATGATCTAAAGCTTCAGATACAAAGTTAGAAAGTGCATGACGAATGGTTGGGCCCTTCTCTGCAGCAAGTTCTGAGCAATTTATAAATATTCTGCATATACAGAACATATTTGAGTTAAAGTTCACTAAGAAAACCCATCAGAATCAAGTAACTTCAGACAGTAGATATTCCCAAAGCATAGTTTTACATAGAAGTAGCCTCAAAATATCAATCAATCACCAATTAGAAGAATAGAGAAGGAAAGACTTTTTAAATGCATTCATGTAACACATACATGTGTGCTAAGATGTCTCCATGTTCTTGAAGAGATTTTGCAACTGCCTTTGACAATAATGTTTTTCCAGAACCCTAAAACAAGAGGATATCATGATAGCTTCTTTTGAATAAATATAATACAATGAACATTTGGAATAAAAATACAATTATGTTCAGAAAAAATCAGTCCAAGCATACTTGGGATAAATATTGTAGAAGTAAAATATTCTAAGCCATGATTTGCATTTTGCAGTTACACTAATGGATAACGTCAAGTTTTCACTATAGCCTTATTAAAGGAAAACTGACACTGAGAGAGAAACATGGAAATGTAGTAAGTTTTAGCTCATTTTATGCTCTGATAGCAGAAGAGAATTAGTTGAACACTTGTGAATGCCCATTTTGGACAAGCCATACAGAAAACATTTTGAAAACCAAACAACCATTCAGCCAAAAGAAAAAATGCAGAAACCACCAAATATACTATGCAACAGGGCTTCAAACGAAAGAGAACAGAGGCAAGTTTTTAGTTTATGCCCTCCCCTTGGTTATCAAAACCAAATTGCTAAAATATATATATATATATATATATGAGAGTAGTAACTCACAGCTGGTCCATATATTAGAACATGTCCAGGGAGAGGAAGTTTGTAAGAACTGAACCACATTCCAGAAGCAGGTGATAACAGCACCAATATTCCTGCATTTAGGCTCTTATCAGTGAGTCATATCCAAGCAAAACTGATTTTGAGATAGTTGGTCCCAGATGTAAAAAAAGTGTGAATTAGAAGCCAGAGTTAAAAATCAACTGTAAGGATAAGATTACAGTCACATAAACATAATCCTATGATTACTAGAAGCCAGACAGCAACAAGAACAGCAAAATGAGATGCTGTAGAGAGAGGGGGCAAAAAAAAGACAATGATTTTCTGAAATTTTCTAGGCCATCTTGTAAGAGGTCAGAGAAGAAATTAAGTTGAGATGGATGGATGACATGCTCCTACTTGGAAGTGACTGCATCTACACCCAAAGAAGAAAACTTTTAAGATGAGTAGATAACAATAGGGTACTTTATTCAATGTTTCCTAAATAAAAAAGAAAAGAGAATAAGGAGGAGAGGCATTAGTTTGAAACAATTATGCCTATTTTATTCCCAAGCAGGATTTTTTTGGCTGGTAAGAAAAGGACTGAATCTAGCACAACAAATCACTTAAGCCACAGAGGCAAAACTTTGCACAAGCAGGCCTCTAAAAACCTTAAGAAAATATACCTGGACTACAGCCATCTGAACCCTATTGAAAACATTCAGGTGACAGTAATTTCAAAAGAGAAAAATACCCACTATTGAAAACATCAGATGCAGGCATTCTCATCCAGTTCAATGAAGACACATCTGTGGTAAACCCTTTGATAGAGTTTCTGTCTTTGACAGAATATAAGGACAACGGATCACCCAAGTTCAGCTTTCCAATAAACTCCAAACCTCCAAGAGCATCATTCTTCTTGCTTACATCATCAAGGGAAAACTCAAATGCCTTAATCCTTCCACCATGTAGAGATTTTTCAGAAATGATCAATATATATAAAATTTCCACCTGCCTATCTGCAGTCTTATGTATATCATTTGAAGAACCATTAGATGATCCACTTATCAATCCATTAGTTTCAGAATTGTATCCTTTCACTTCAAAGTGAAGCAGAGTTTCATTTCCCAAAACCAATGTATTAACTTCATTTCCTGCATTCAAGCTAACAGCATCAAGCTGTGCAGCAAACCATGTACGAAAAAGACATTCTAAGCCATATCCATTGTCAGAGTCACAACCATTCTCTTCTCCCTCTTGACAAGGAGATTTACATGAAAGGGCAGCAATAACTTCATCATGGGTTGACCAATTCATCACTTCCATATAGCCACGGGAGGCAGATTTTTGGAATGTGTCTGTTGTCTTACGATTTTTATGACCATCAAGCACTTGAAGACCACTTTCAAGAGCCTTCTCCTTCGCAAGTATCTTAAATTGACAAGGAGAAATTGAAAGTACTTCAATTGCATTCTTCGAATCAACATTACATTCTTTTAAATAAACCCCTGCAACCATCAGAACTTTTAGAAACCTGGTGTACAGATATAATATCACAAAAATTGATAAAAGAAATTCATAGAGAAAGAGAAAAAGTAATCATTTGAACAATGCTCAAGCCTATCCTCATAAAAGTAGAAAGACAATAAGAAAAAAATGGGAAGCAAAGCAAAGATGAATATCAAAATGCATCTAAGTGGAAGAAAGAAGCAGAAATCTTAAAATTGTTTAATAAAACAAATTGAAATCTCTAAGCTCTAATAAGAATATCAAAACGTTAAATTAATCACCTAAATTTAGTAGACAAATAATATGTTGATATCTAAAAAAATTCACATCATTAGCATCTTAAGAAAGGTCCTCTATACGTCCTATAATATCATGCTTTCTATTTCAAATCCCCCAACCAAAGAAAAAGGGAGTGATCAAAGAATTTTCTCTTTCTTGAGATGTCACTCATCAGAATAAATTGCCATTGTGAATCCTTTTGCATCTTCTGGTTGAAGAGTCAAAAGGAATGGTGATATTGGAAAAGCAAAGCTAAAATTAAAAATTGCCTTGAGTATCTTTAAAAGCTATTCCTCTCACATGGAATGGACAGAATAAAGAACGCATAAAACAGCTTACTGCATATAGAGAATTAAAATGCATACTAATCAGGTGTAAAAAGATAAATATTAATATGAGATTAAAAAAACAATCACAATTAAAAGCCAGATAAATTCTGTAGTTTAGAAGATCTCTTTATGACCAACACATAAACTTTTGAAAGGGGACTAACATATTTCAAAGAATAAACATACATGAATGTAGGTCTGCTCTCAAATAAAGCCGAATAGACTGAGCAATCATCACATGTCCCTTAGACACCAAATCTGAAATTAAAAGGCGAACAATCACATGGCGACTTTCTTTCTTGTTAGTTAAAACTCCATTTTTCACTTCCTTTGGGGATAAACTGCCTTTCATTCTTGTGGTATCATTTTCACGAATCTTTATGCTCTCTTGTGATGCAAATCTTGGCACCAATGCAACTGACAGGAGAGACTTCAATCCAAATTTTTCTGCTGTTTCTTGATGAACAAAGGCAACAGACGTGAGGGCAACACCCATCTCAATACCTTTGACATTGCATTTGTGAAACAATCTTCTATCTGAATCTTCAATACGTAGAAGAGCCTTAACATTAAAAGGTTGGACAGTACTATCTTCAAGTTTATTTATATTTGTCTTGCGTCTCTTTGGAGCAACTGCAACTTCAGTTCCAGGAACAAGTTGAACTGCAAAAAAATACTATCTCAGAAAAACTCCTTATCATTCCCCAAAAAATGGAGGAAAAGGGGCATGGGCAGAAAACTACCGAAAGCTAAGATAAGAAAGTTATAAGCAATAATTAATTTTTTGAACAAAAATGAAGTGGCTGTCTATGATGTAAAATGAAACTCATATCAGCAACCTCAGTGAACTAAAGCCAGGTTTAGTTCACGACTTCAATAAAACAACAGGAAAAAATGTAATTGACCCACTAATGGAAACCACAGGCCATAAGTGACATCATCAAAGCAGCTTGCTTCAACAGTATGACACAATAATAAGAAAGACAGGATAAGAGCAGAAATATGTCAAATAAGAAGATGCTAATTCAAATCTGCAACAATATTTTCTGCTTCATTACCTAACAAACTATACCTTAAACTTTAAAACTGAACTGATACATGAGAATATTGGGATCGATAACAATGGATATGACTGAAAAATGGAATATCATAAACAATCTTATGAAAACCTTTCCTTGTAGAACTATAAATCACATTGACTGCCAACTAAATGAGTACAAGATCAAAGCACTCACCAGACAAGTAACAATCCTACATACACCAGGAGAACAAACCAGAATATGCCAGTGCGATAAAATTTATAGCATTAAATAACATCTTACCCACCGCTTTCTTGGGAGAAGTTGAAACCACAAGGAATGTTATGATAGTACGGCCTTGCAACCACAAAGGAAATTGCATTCCCTCATGGACAATCCTGATCTATACCAAATATCAGGACGATTTCAGAGCATCAGTAATAAATGTCTTCAAGTAAAAGGCAGGTTACTAGCACAAAAACCATGAACCATTAAACTGGTCCAAAAAAAGTCACCTGCTTCAGTATAGCTGCCTCTGCAAGTTCAGAGTTAAGCTCTAAAACTTCCCAATCATCTTCGGTACGAGGTTCAATTGTGACTAGCGTAGCCTTTGGGACACCAGACAGTACTCGTACTTGAACGGTGGTATGATTTGGTAAGGACATGCATTCTCCAAATTGTTGAGAAACCTTTTGTAGAAAAGTAAACAACAATTTATAAGAACAAAACCACCATAAAATAAACAAAATAAGAGAAAGCTCTGCAGATTTTAAATGAGTGACCAGCCAACTTGGTTCCAGCTAAATCATTAGCTTACAGGAAGAAATTAGGTAAACACCCATGCCAACAAATCCTCAAAGATTGAATAAATTTGAGCTAAACTAAATCAACTAGAATCAGATATTAGCAGAGCTTAATGGATATACCTCAACAGCCGTGGAAGAAGAGGTAGCACCTGACCAAGCGACGACCCAGGGCTGGTCGTGGGTGCGTGAACGAAGCTCGAGAGGGAGAAGTGGAGGAAGGAGAGCAGAACTCGTGGACTGAAGCGTTTGGATTAGGAAAAGAGGGAGCGATACAAAGCAGTCCTGTATTCCGACGACATACCTCACTTCAAATTCCATGGAGACGGAGAAGGAGAGACGCGGAAGGATTCTAAGGAAGAAGAAAGGGGGAGAGAAGCCGAACAAATTCAGAGTGAGTGACGATGAGGCTAAGCGAAAATTCTCGTCCGTCCCGACTTTGGAGGTTTTGGATTTTTTTTTTTTTTTCTTTTTGCCGATTGGTAAATATATATTGATAAAATAAATTCAACTGAAAAATGGGGAAAAAATTAACTTGAGCTTCTACTCCCATCAACTACACAGTTTTTATTTTATTTTATTTTATTTTTTACATTTAATGATGTGTTATAAAATAAAAAAATTATATTAAAATTTAAATTTAAAACCTCTAAAAATGAAAATTCAATTTTTAAACCACTCGAATATAGCCTATATGACTTAGAATATAAAGCTATGGATGACTAAGACCATAGAGTTTAAAGATGAGGGACCCAATTGGATAATTTAAACAAAATTGAGGATCTGAATACATTTTCA